TCTATAGAAAACACAAACTATAACAAAATTTTCTATATACAGCATACCCAATAATAACATTTTCTATAGAAAACGTTGCCGATAATAATATTTTATGTTAAAATATGCCCACAATATTTTCTATATTGAAGACAATATTTTATATTGTAAACATTATCGATAACATAATTTTTAATAGAAAACTTAAACGATAACAACATTTTATATTGAAAACAGAACCGATAACAATATTTTCTATGGAAAACATGGCCGATAACAACAGTTTCTATGGGAAACATTGCCGATAACAATATTTTTACAGAAAACATTTCCGATAACATCTTTTTCTTATAGAAAATATGACTGAAAATGACTTTTTCTATAGAAAACATAACCGATAACAACTTTTACTATACAAAATATGAAAGATAATGACATTTTTTTATAGAAACCGTTACCGATAACAATATTTTCTATAGAAAACATTACCGATAACAATTTGTTTATAGAAAATATGAACGATAATGACTTTTTCTATAGGAAACGTTGCCGATAACTATATTTTTTATAGTTAACATGAACGATAAAAAATTTTTTTATAGAAAATACGAACGATAACAACATTTTCTATAGAAAACATGAACTATCATTTTTATTTTCTATATAGAAACGCTACCGATAACGATATCTTCTATATAAAACATAACCGATAATATTTTCTTTTAAAAAATGACGACAACAATATTTGTATTGAAAGCATTATCAATAACAATATTTTCTAAATAGAACACGCTACCTATAACCATATTTTCTATTGAAAACACAACCGATAAAAATATTTTCTATAAAAAAAAACATGACTGATAATAAAATTTTCTATAGAAAACGTTATCGATAACAATATTTACAATATTTTCTATTGAAAAATTACCGATAACAATATGTTCTATAGAAAACATGACAGGTAACAATATGTTCTATAGAAAGCATGACAGGTAACAATATGTTCTATAGAAAACATGACCTATAATAATATTGTTATAGAAAAATTAGTCAATAACAATAATAAATATATATATAACCGCTTTACTATGAACAAATTCTGTCGATGAACACTTTCTATAGAGAAGAATATCAATAAAAACATATTTTTTTATAGAAAATGTTTTCAATAATACAGGGTTGCCCATATTCAACGGACCCATCTGGCAACGCCATAACATTTGACAGAGATGTCACATCGCTTAATGACATACCGCGTTTGAAGCATCAGTCCAAGCAGATTTTTACCATGAACCAATACACGCCACGCGAGCGCTCTGAAATAGTTGAAATTTACATTCAACAGAAGAAGTCAATTGTGAGAACTCAACGTGCTTTTAAAACATTAAAAAATGTGAGAAGTGCGCCTTCTAAGAACACTATTAAGCGTTTATACGAAAAATTTTCGACTGGTAAGGCTCTTTCTATTCCGAAGAGGCCATATAAAAGTCGACCAAGGTGATCGGCCGAGAATATCGCTGTCGTACGAGCCAGTGTTGAGAGGTCCCCAAGAACATCCCAAAAACGCCGTTCTCAGCAGTTGGGCATGGCTCAGTCCACTTTACAACGGATTATTCGCATTGATTTGCTGCATTTCAATTGACGCAAAGAATGTTGCCTGCGGACAAGCCTCGTCGATTGGAATGGGCCCCAAGAGTCATCGAAATGGCCGAAGATGACGAGCAATTTTGGAACAAAATTATCATGTCCGATGAAGCCCATTTCACATTGAATGGGACCGTAAATAAGCAAAATTGCCGTTTTTACGCCACTGAAAATCAAGTGGTGCATCTTCATGACGAAAAAGTCACAGTTTGGTGCGACGTTAGTGCGAAAAAGGTCATTGGGCTGTTTTTCTTCCAAAATGAAAATGACCATGCTGTTACCATCAATCAGGAGCATTATCGCGACATGATGACCAATTTTGTGATGCCAATTATTCGTCGAAAGCGTATGAGGCACACAAGTCGCATAACAATCGATTTTCTGAAGAATTTGTTTCCGGGCCGTTCGATGTCGAAAAGTGGTGATTTGGACTGGCCACCGCGTTCGCCCGATTTGACGCCGCCTAACTTCTTCTTGTGGGGATATTTGAAGTCAAAGGTTTACGTTAACAAGCTAAGGGCCGTAGAAGAGCTCAAGGACAACATTCGTGAATAAATAGCCGCTATTCCGGCCGAAATTTTGGCAAAAACGATGGAAAATGCAGCAAAAAGGACACAATACGTCATCAACGCCAGAGGCGGCCATTTGAGAGATATCATATTCAAAAATTGATGTAAACAAATCTACTTGGAACAAATTAAATGATTAACATTGCCAACCGCCAAATTTTTATTTTTTTCTTTGATTTAAAAAAAAAACATGGGTCCGTCAAATATGGGCAACTCTGTAATATTTTATATAGTAATTTTTTTAATAAAAAAAAAATTCTATAACAATATATCATAGTAAAAATCACTTCTATATTCATTATGAATTTACTTTTCAATTATATTAACAAAAAACCAAATACTTCGAATCCCACATTATTATCTCTTAATAGGGTTCAATAACGTTCGGATTGCATTGTTTGCTTGTGTGTAATCTGCTTCTAGCTATGCTTTATTATTATTATCAACAAATCAAATTTTGTTAAGAAATTCTCTACCAAGGTATTTTTTGTTTGTTTTATTTTTCTTTTATAAATAAATCATGAGTAGCGGTATGTAATTAATACGATTTTTTTTTAATTTTACATTGATAAAAATTAGATTTATCTATCACAGTGAGTGTTTCACTGATTATAGCCGTGTGTCTTTGTGGTGCTGTAAAAAATTAATCTCAAGGTCAAACTGAATATTTATTTTATCTTGCTGTTTTCTTTGAAAACTTTCAATTTCATTTATTTTTTTTTGTTTTTGTTTTGACGTTTGCATTGTAGGACAACTTAACAAAAAATTGCAGACAATAAAACCATCTAATTATGGTGGTCTCTGCTGTATATAATTGCGTTTGGATCGGTTCGGCGCGGTTGTCTATTTTCAAGGGTCTAATTATGAACTCAAAATAATAACGCATGCAATCGCACATAATTATGACATCAATGTTGTGTTGTGGTGTGTCAGTAAGTTAATGACTAAGGTTGTAAAAACCACGCAGAAATGAAAAAAAGACATTGAACTTTATTGCAGATTTATTTAATTTGGACAATTTTTTTGGGGGTATAGCAACAGCTGATAACAGTGTGTGTGTGCCAAGAAACAATATATATATATATATATATATATATATTGTTATCGATATCAAAATTTTCTATAGAAAATTTTATCGATTACAAAATTTTCAATACAAAATTTTATCGATAACAAAATTTTCTATACGAACTATTATCGATAACTAGAATTTATATATGAAATATTATCGATAACAAGATTTTCTATAGAAAATATTATCGATAACAACATTTTCTAACGGAAATATTATCGATAAGAAAAATATTTATAAAAAATGTTATCGATAACAAAATTTTTTTTAAAAAATGTTGTCGAAAAAATATTTTCTATAAAAATATTATCGATAACAATATTTCCTATAGAAAATATCATCGATAATAAGATTTTCTATAGAAAATATTATCGATAACAAAATTTTCTAAAGAAAATATGATCGTTAAGAAAAATATTTATAAAAAATGTTATCGATAACAATAATATTTTCTATAGAAAATATTATCGATAACAATATTTACTATAGAAAATATTATCGATAATAAGATTTTCTATAGAAAATATTATCGATAACAAGATTTTCTCTAGTAAATATAATCGGTAAAAAGATTTTTTTTATAAAAAAATCGATAACAATATTTTGGGTAAAAAATCTTGTCGATAGCAATATTTCTGTAGGGAACATTATCGATACAATATTTTCTATTGAAAATATTATTGATATCAATATTTCCTATAGATAATATTATCGATAACAATATTTTCTATAGAAAACCTTATCGATAATAAGAATTTCTATAAAATATTTTATCGATAACAATATTTTCTACAGCATACCTTATCGATAACAAGGTTTTCTATATAAAACCCTATCGTTTATAAGAGTTTCTATAGGAAATCTTATCGATAATAATTTTTTTTATAAAATATCACATCGATAACATATTTTTTTATAGAAAATTTTATCGATAAATAGGCTAACTTTTTCTTTTTATAGAAAATATTATCTATAAGAAGATTTTCTATGTAAACCTTATGCATAACAAGATTTTCTATGAAAATATCGATAATATTTTCTATAAAAATCTTATCGATAAACATATTTTCTAAAAGAAATCTTTTCAATAATATTTTCTATAAAAAATCTTATTGATAATATTTTCTATAAAAAAATCTTATTGATAATAATATTTTCTATCGATAAAAGCATTTTCTATCGAAATCTTATCGACAAAATAAATTTTTGTTGAAAAATTTATCGGTTACAACCCTTTTTCATAGAAAATCGTGTCCATCATATTAGCTCCTATTGATACGTGTGTCGATAAAAATATTATCTATACAAAGTCTTGTGTCGATAATAATGTTTTCTAGTGAAAATATTATCGATACCAAATTTTTCTATTGAAAATCCTAACGATAACAATATTTTCTATAGAAAATCATATCGGTAACATTAATGTCTATAGAAATTAGTGTCGAGAACAATTGTTTCTATTGCAAATATATTCGATACAATGAATACTATGTCGATAACAATATTTAAAATATTATCGATAACTAAATGTTGTATTGGAAATCATATAGATAACAATATTCTTTATAGAAAACATTGCCAAAATATAGATAATCTTACAGTAACGATATTTCAATATTTTTTTCCGATTTCTGATAAGTCATTTATCGATTTTAATATTTTCCTTATAACATGTTATCGATAACAACAATATACTAATTTGAAATTCTCCCTTCTCTTCTCTTACATTACAGTGATTCTGTACAATCATATTCCTTTGTACTCACAACAGATGATTCCAAATGGCGATTTGGATTTTGCCGACACGATCCAAAAACCGAATCGACAATGGTCATTATTACACTCTTGCCATGGCATGATACATTTTTAAAACTGTTAGCATTATTAGCGGAGCTACGGAGGACCGATCCAAAAGAATTTCAAAAATTTTTAACCGATGCCTACAACAGTGGAGTACCCGGTGTGGGTAGCCCCGTCAAATTGTTTTATAGTCAGGATCTAAGTGTAAGAAAAAAATAAAATTGTATATATATTTATAATCGAAAACATAATTATCGTACTTTATTGTTTTTAGCCATTTATATTCGAAAGGCCCAAACCTTTTCAATTGCCAAGTATACCAGAAAATGTAAGTTTGTGTTTTGAATTTTGGGAATTTTGGTTAATAAGTTCTTTTTTTGTCTTACAGCACAATTTAAATCTGTATTATAATTTTGTGGATCCAAAGAATATGATTGCGGTATTTGCAGCCATGCTGGCCGAGAGACGTATCATTTTTACCTCCAGACGTTTGGATCGTTTGTCTTCCTGTATACAGGCGGCCAATGCCTTTCTCTATCCGATGGTGTGGCAGCATATTTTTATTCCAGTGCTGCCTATGAAGCTCAAAGATTATTTAAGTGCACCCATGCCATATTTAATAGGAGTGCCACATTTGGTATTAGAAACGGTAAATAATCGGAAAATAATAATTTCAAAAATTTTATTGATAAGTTTTGCTACAGAAAGTTATATTGTCGGTACGGACTTTTTTATCTAAAATATTGTTATTAATACTTTTTATATAGAAAATATTGTTATCGATAAAACTTCTATAGATAATTTAGTAATTGAAAATATTGTTATCGATAATGTTTTCCGCAGAAAATTTTGTTATCGATAATGTTTTCTATAGAAAATATTGTTATCGATAATTTTTTCCACAGAAAATATAGTTATCTGCAATGTTTTCCGCAAAAAATATTGTTATCGGTAATGTTCTCCACAGAAAATATTGTAATTGATAATGTTTTCTATAGAAAATATTGTTATCGGTAATGTTTTTCAAAGAAGATATTGTTATCGGTAATGTTTTCCACAGGTAATGGTTCTATAGAAAATATTGTTATCGAAAAAGCTTTCTATAGAAAATGTTGTTATCGATAATGTTTATATTGAAACTATTGTTATCGATAATGTTTTCTATAGAAAATATTGTTATTGTTTTCTATAGAAAATATTGTTATCGGTAATGTTTTCCATAAAAAAATGCTGTTATCGGTAATGTTTTTTTACAAAATATATTGTTGTCGATAGTTTCTTCCGTAGAAAATACTGTTATCGGTAATTGTTTCTGTAGAAAATATTGTTATCTGTAGTGTTTACCATAGAAAATACTGTTATCGGTAATGTTTTATATAGAAAATATTGTTATCGGTAATATATTCTGTAGAAATTATTATTATCGATAACGTTGTCTATGGAAAATATTGTTATCGATTACGTTTTCCATGGAAAACATTGTTATCTATTAATTTTTTTTTGTAGAAAATATTGTTTTCTATAGGAAATTTCGTTATCGGTTATGTTTTCCATAGGAAATGTTGTTATCGGTAATGTTTTCTCTAGAAAATTTTGTTACCGTTATTGATTTTTATACAAAATATTGTTATCGATAATGTTTTCTGTAGAAAATGTTGTTATCGATTATGTTTTCTATAGAAAATATTTTGTTCAAAAATATGGAAAATGTTTATATCGGTAAAGTTTTCAATGGAAAAATATTGTTATCGGTAATGTTTTCTATAGAAAATATTGTTAACAGTAATGTTTTCTATAGAAAATGCTGTTGACAGCGAAATTTGCTATATAAAATGTAGTTATCGGTATTATTTCTTGTTGGAAATAGTGTTATCGATCATATGTTTCTATAGAAATTTTTGCTATGGAAAATTTTATATATAAAATATTGTTATCGATTATTTTCCTATAGAATAAATTGTTATTGATAATTAGTTTTATTGTTATCTTTAGTTTTTGTCTATTGATAATATTTTTACCGATAATTTTGTGTGTACAAATATGGTAATCGATAAAATTTCCTATTGAAAATTAAGTCATCGTCAAAAAATCGTTATCGATAGTTTTTTTTACAAACAAATAAAGAATATTTAATGAATCTTTTCGTTCTCCCACTTTCAGATGACCCCCGAAGAATTGGGCGAAGTTGTTACCCTAAACTGTGATACGAAAATTTTCGATAGTCCCTTCGATGATGTCCATGCCATGCCAGCCGAAATTGTTTCCCAACTAAAGAAACAACTTAGTCATTCGCATCAGCATATGGGCGATCGTGTATCGAAAATATTTCTTGGTGTTTTGGTACAATTAATTGGAGGCTATCGTGATGCTGTGGAATTTCGTGAAACTGGCAAAACCTTCAATCGAGAGAAATTTATCGAATCACGGCCGTCACATTTGCGACCGTTCCTAACGAAAATGATGGAATTACAAATATTTCAACAATTCATCGATGAACGTTTGGAAATGATGAACACGGGGTTGGGTTTCTCTGATGAATTTGAACAGGAAACGGTGCGTTATGCGGAAAAGCTAAAGAAACGTGGTCGTTTTTATCAGCTCAAGGAGAAGGTGAGATTATTTGTGGATTTTGATTGTCCGATTATATATATGCGCATTGCAGGTTTTTGTAGGAATCTAAATTAAATTCATTACCCTTTTTGCGTGTGTGTGCGTGTCGGTCATATTTATATTGGGGGCTTTTGGTTTAGTCATTGGCTTTTATCGCAGACTTAAGCATGTATATACATACTACTCATTTGCACATAATTCAGAAAACCACACACATATTTTGCTACAACGACAAAAACGAAGTAACCGGATTTTTTTTTTGCTTAAAATTATATTCGAATTATTTTTGCTGGGAATATAAAACTTTCTAAGGCATTTAGGATATCACAATGTTAGAATTTGCTTTAATAAACAAATTTTTTATTTTTAAGATTTTAAATGGGCTGGTAAATGAATACCAATGCTTGTTAAGGTTTGTAACTTTGCACATATATATTTGAAGATTTAAAGAGGAAGAAAAATAATTTACAAAAAAATTTTGTTGTTGTTTTGTTGTTGTTTTTTGTGATCAAAGAAAAGTCCTTATTTTTGATGGCGGGCATGATAACTCCTCACTGTTATTTTTAACGGTGTTAGAAAGAGTGTTGGCTCTCGTATAATTAGGATTATTGACTTCGCTCTAAAATTAACAAAATGGCGGACCTTTGTTTTTATTAAAATTTTTTGACCAAAAACCAAGTTAAAAAATAAGGAAGATCTTCATCGATTGGCTTTATCCTATTTCATACGATAGCTATACACTCACAGAGAAACGTGTAAAAATTTGAAATCGATTGGGTTATTCGTTTTTGAGCTATCGTGCCCGCCATTCGCAAAAAAATGTTTAGAGAAAAACGCGTTTAAAGTTTGAGAAGCCCTTCAGCCGTCACTTGATATTGACACAATAAATCGGCTATATCTTCAAGAGTTCTTGAGATTTTTACTTGAAATTTTGCAGGGACATTCTTGAATTGGTGTAGATTGGAATTAAGTCAACAAAAATTTTGACCCCGAGAATGGGGGGGGTCCCCTTAATAAACAAATATAGTTGCTGCCAAAATGTTTCCATTTCATACCCCCCGAAAAATTATTCTTAGTTGCGCCAAGTCTTTTTTGTTTCTTAATTATTTTATGTTTTAATTTATTTTCAACTAATTTCCTTTGTTATTTTTATTGTATTGTGTTCTTTATAATTATTTTGTTTCTTTTTTAATATTGTTTTTATTAATTTCTTACAGTATTATGTGGGAAAACATGGTCTAATTAGAGTTTTCACTAAGCGAACCTACACTATTAATCCAACCTAATGTAGAACCACACCTCCACACAAACAAAACAGAAAAACCACAAAACAGTTTCAAAACTGTATTTCGAAAAATACAAATAATTCCAACATTTTACTTAAACTCTCTCAACAATTGTCCATCCAACCGTACTGTGATCTACAAAGACAAACTCAAATTCCCTCCTATATTATTAATTTCATCACAAACAAACGAAAGACCAAAAAAAAAAAAAAAAAAAGTTCGTAAATTTTGTAAATCTATTTTAAGTACCCTTTTAATTTTAATTTTGTTTCCTAACAATAACTACTTTTTTCTTTGTTTTGTAGTTTTTCCCAAGCATATTTTAGTTTTTATACTAACATTGTTGTTGAGGGGCGGGTTTAGTGGTTAAAACTTTTATTTGTTCTTAACGACTAGTGAATAGTAAGTCAGCACTTTTTCCATTACGTAGAAATGCACCCTAACAATGTAGATAATTTTGTTATTTTAATTTCAAATTGTTTTTAATTTTATTTATTAATTTTAACATAGGGGTTCATTTAATCGTCTCTTAATACCATGATTATCTTTAATTAGAATTTAAAAGATATTGTTACTACAATATATTGAAAATATTGTTATCGACTGTGAGAAACAGTCTGCAGCTTCTTCACTTGGAGACCATTCACGGCGAATAGTTGAAATATAGAATACATTAGATTGAGGAAAAAGAAATCCATTTTTATATGAACTTTAGGACATTATTTCACATGCTTCGGAATGTCCGATTTGGGCCAAATATACACCGTTTTGTTGTATGATTTGTTGCCATTTTAAAGGTTACTTCTTAAAATGCCTCTGTCATAGAAGTCCTGCGCTCTATTTGCAAAAAACTCTGATAGTCGATTTTCACAATCCCCCCTAGATACAAATTTTTTATCATTAAAGAAATTTTGCAATGCAACTTCCCAACCAAGCTCCCAAAGTTTCAGGCAAGTCACTGTAGATGTGTGTGGCCTAGCGTTGTCCAGGAAAATTCGATCCATCCTATTTTTTTTCTGTTAATTGGTGTGGCACCCAAACATTGAACTTCTTTTTGAATACTGCTTTGTATATATGGTTGATTATTGTCGATTTTTAGCTCCTGGGAGATGTTACGACTGCTAACATGCCGATCAACTTCGACAATTTCTCCGATTTTATCGACATTTTCGACGACTTTTTCCCCAACCTAATATATAGAAGTTGTTGTTGTAGCAGCCCTATTGCTTCTACGCAACGGGTTGAGGTGACAGACGTGGGCCGAGTAAGATTCGAGTCGTTTCGGATCATAGACCCCTATATAGAAGTAGTGATTGTCGCTGATTCTACCATAAGGATCGGATTGCGGTTCCACACCTTTGTCAGAGGCATGGGCTTCGTCGACTCTACTAATTTGCTCGTTTCCCGATTTACCTTAGAAGTTTGGCCAACCAACTATTTATTTTGGGAGGAAAATTCTCTCCATCTGGAGCTCTTGATGAAAAGTGTGCGGATAGGTTATTTCGAATTTCCCTACAATTTCATCTTACACCTGATGTGGTGAAATTCCCTCTCCGAAAGCAAGTTTGCATCTCGTCCTACCAACTTGCGAAGATACGATGACGTTTATAGTGCTTCGCACCAGATGCATATCGGGAAGTTCCGATCTTTGTGTCGCTGACCGTTATCGAGATCTCGTTAGATTCCCCAGATGCATCTCGGGCAATTCCGACCTTCGTTTCGCTCACCGTTGTCGGGTTCTTGTTAGATTCCCCCGTCGAAGATTGGTTCAGTTACAGTCTGCCTCTGAAGCTTATTGTCCGCATGTGCCGTCACAGGACCAGACAAAGTCAGATTTGTCTTCGGTTGGACAACAAGATTTACACTCGTTAGAACCACAACAATCTTCCTGAGTAGACATGGCCGGGATTACCGTGGTGTCCAGCTCATCCTAAGTTAGGGTTAGATTTTTTAGTAGTTCCTGCGGGAGTATGTCCCCACTTTGATCTTCCGGTACAAGTCTGTCCAGCTGATCGAAGAGTTGCTAAGGGTCCCATGTAGGTCGTAGCCGCCCAAAACTGCGTTCCTGTCCGTCAATCTTTCTGAGTAGACTTGGCCGGAATTACCGTGGTGTCCATCTCATCATCAGTTAGGGTTAGCTTTTGTAGCAGTTCCTCCTGGAGTATGTCCCCAATATGCTCTTCCGGCACAAGTCTGTCCAGCTGATTGAAGAGCTCGCTAAGGATACCATGTACGTCGTCCCCGCCAAAAACTGTGGTCCTGTCTATCGAAGACTGTTTTTTGCTAGTCTTGACTAAATCCCTGCAATGTAGCTTTATTTTTCCTGTTCTTTTTTCCATCTTAGTCAACTATTTAAGGGAACTACCCCAGTCCGGCTAAATTGTCCTAGGTCGGTTTCAACCCTGCAAATCGTAGATTCCTCCTCCTAGTGGGAGATTCGGATTTATGATCCGAATGAGATGAAATTTGGTGCAACCCTCTTATTTGGCCCTACTGAAATTGAAGAAAATCTGTTCAGATTTACATCTAAATCTCATTTATTTTTTCATCCGGTTTGATGCAAATGGCACATCAAATTCCCAAGGTATGTCCGATGGAGACGTAATTTGGCATAACGTACTGAATTGAGTCTAGAATGATGTGTGTTAAGTTTCGTTGAAATCGGTTCAGATTTAGATATAGCTCCCATATATATTTTCGTCAGATTTAAGGTAAATGGTGCATTAAAATCCCAAGGTATGTCCGATGGAGACGAAATTTTGCATAGCGTATGGAATTGAGCATAGAATATAGTGTGTTAAGTTTCATTAAAATCGAATCGGATATAGATCCCCTATATATTTTTGTCCGATTTTATGTAAATGGCGCACCAAGCTTCCAATGTTAGTTCGATTGAAACTAAATTTAGCATAGCGTATTGATTTGAGTATAGAATAATGTCTGTTGAATTTCATTGAAATCGGATCAGATTTAGATATAGCTCCATATATATCTTCCGATTTTATCTAAATGGTGCACCCACGTTTTTAAAAAATTAATTTTTTTTTCCGATTCCATTTCAATAGTCCCCCAGAGATATGTCTGTTCTATCCACAGAATATTATTATTATTTATTAATTTGGTGAAGGTGGAATATGATGATGAGATACGCGACCGCTACTATTTACTTATTTACGCTGCTTATCATATCATTCATGCTTGGGTTACATATTTAAATTGTACTTATTACTGTTATTATTGGTATTATTATTTCTTATAATTACTATTATTTATTGGGGAAATAATTTTAAGGCCATTTCACTGACCATTACACCAATCACACATACCATCAAGGTTAATGTCAAGCATCATTTATAATTATCATTTTTAAATAATTCGAGACAAAAAATCACAATAATTCCATCAACATTAATTTTATAAAGTATTTCAAGCAAATAGAATTAGTAAGCAAATAATTTTCATATATATTTTTATTTTTTCTCTATATTCTTTTCATATTTATTGTGTAACTACTGTAATACGGTGCGGAAACGACAATACAACGTACGCTCGATCGATCGCTTGTTCGTTGACGAATATAAACAAAATATTGCCTACTACTACTCTGCTTGTTGTTTGCTATACACACACATTCTTCACAACAACAACAATAATAAAAACACATACACATCCTACCGAAAAACCAATTGCATCATTATCCCCTTTTAAATGTCCTTTCCCAAAAAACATTGCATCATCTTACAAAATATATATCCAAAACAATCGAAATCAAAACAAAACATAATTCACATTTTTGCAGACTAATCCTGCTGTTAAGTCCGCTGTAAAATCGGTGAGTGGTATTAAAAAAAACAATCAAACATACAAAACGTATATGTATTTAGTTTTATATATCGTTATAGTATCAGTATTGTTATTCGTATGTATTTCTCTTTCATTAGTGGTAGTAATGATAATTGTATTGTATTAACTCTCTAGAGCTTGTCAAGTATTTGTAAAATTTAACATCACAACTAAAAATCGTTATATATCAGCCTATTTCATTACCATTATTAATAAAAAGTAATACTAATCTCAAATAAATCCTTATTATTATCCTCCTATCCTTTCCCACAAACAAAACGATTCTCAATATTAACCTTCATTTTTGTATTATCCTTTCTTTCCCTATTTTGCATATTAATCAACAACAACCACCAACCACATCGAAAATTCCGTGATCAAAAAATCTGAATTAGGTCAAAGAAAGTTCTCGTGTGGCCAAGCACGCCTACAAAGATCTCAAATCGAAATTACGTGATATAACACCACCAAATCCGTCATCATCCTCACATTTACATCACAACCACCACAACAACAACAATTTCCGTTCCCACCTCAATTCGAATACACCACACGATCGTTTGGATGGTGTCAGTGTCGGCAGCGGTTATGTAACCTCATCGAGTGGCAACAGTAAAGATTCCTCGAAATCGTTGAAAACCTATTTGGGACGCCATTCGGCACCCAGTTCACCTGTGTTCTGCAAACGCATTGGTAGCTCATCGGCTGCCGTATTCCAATATGCTCCCAAAGATCAAATCAGCAATGCTTCACAACATCTGCGCCGCGGCCCAACGGCGCTGGCCATGTCAAATTCCAGTACGCACATACAGTCGAATGGTTATGCGAAATCTTCTCCGATTTCTTTTAATCACAATCATCATTTGGCTTCATCTCCTACCATTAGTCCGGCGAGTTCGTTGTGTTCGTCGGAAATGAATTTGTCACAGGAATTGCAAAATCATCCGCTGTTCAAGTCACCCATTGTGGATCGAAGTGTAAGTATACATTTTTGAGTATGTGTGTAATGGCTATACATACCTACATTTATATGTTTATTTATTAAACGTTTTCGCGCATATTACATATATACATTTTTTATATAAATGTTAAATGTGTGTTGTTTTTTTATATTTGTTTCGTTGTGAGCTTTGTCCACGTGTTTGTGTGCGTCCTTGTTTATAGACTATTTTATGTTGGTTATAATTATTATATATAAAATTATAAACAAATTTTTTTAGGTTAGGTTTAGAAAATTACATATTTTTATATATAGTATAGGAATAGCTTATCTATCTAGCTATAAAATAGCTATAGCTATAAAATCGACAACAAAAATAATACAAGGTTCAGAGAATATTGTAGTGGAACAGAAGTTTGAATTTCGGTGTCAAAATCTTTGCATACTTTTAGGAGGATTTTTAAAAAAATACCCTACTTCACATCTGGGGTACAGGGTATTATGTCTTTGGGTATTTGTAAAAGGCAAAAGGAAACGAGGTAGACACAAGGTTCCTTTTGAGAATATGCATAGAATCAGTCTCTGAGTCGATTTATTCATGGCCATCTGGCCATTTTAAATTGTAATTTGTAAGTCGTAATTAGTATTCGAATGAGCTGGAAATTGGCAAAGGTCATTTATTTGGCTTAAGGATGAACCCTATTGAAATTGGTGAAAATCGGTTCAGATTTCAAAATAGCTCTCATATAAACTATCGTCGGATTTGGTGTAAATGGAGCATCAAACTTCCAAGGTTTGTCCGATTGAGACGTAATTTGGCACAACGTACTGAATTTAGTATAGAATCATGTGTGTTAAGTTTCGTTGAAATGGGTTCAGATTTAGATATGCTCCCATATATATTTTCGTCCGATTTAAGGTAAATGGTGCACCAAAGTCCCTATATATCTTTCGATTTCCACGAAATTTGGCACAGCGTTTTGAATTAGGTCTAGAATGATGTCTGCTAAGTTTCGTTGAAATCGGTTCAGATTTAGATATAGCTCCCATATATATGTTCGTCCGATTTTATGCAGTGTTTGCCTGATGAGGACGAAATTTGGAATATCATACCGTATTTAGTCCATAACAGTGTGTTAAGTTTCATTTAAATCGCAACAGTTTTAGATATACCTCTCATATATATTTTCATCCGATTTCATGTAAATGGTGCACAAAACATCCAAGGCTTGTCCGATTGATACGTAATATGGCATAATGTATTGTATTGAGTCTAGGATGGAGTGTGTTAAGTTTTATTGAAATCGGATCAAATATAGATATAGCTCCCATATATATATATATATATATATTTTCGTCCGATTTTATGTAAATGGGGCACTAAACTCCCAGTGTTTGTCTGATTAAGACGAAATTTTACTTGTGTTTAGTGTCGTGAAAATTGGTTCACATTTAGATATAGCTCCCATATATATTTCCGTCCGATTTTATTTAAATGACACACCAAATCCCCTATATTTATTTCGATTTTCACGAAATTTTGCATGACGAATTATATCGAGGCAAGAATGATATCTGCTAAGATTTGCAGAAATCGTTTCAGTTTTAGATATAGCTCCAATATATATGTTCGATCGATTTTATACAATTACGAATTAAGTCTATAATGATACTTGTTAACATTAAAACAGTTCGATTTAGATATCGGCTGTCCATTTTTCTTCAAATTTCATCAGAATTAGTTTAACTTCTATACATATTCTGAAGCCATCTAATCTAAATTGTTCTCCAAAAGACTTACGTTTATCCGATTCACTTGAAAAGTAGCATAGCCCTAAAAACGTATATCAAGTATGGTTTAAATCTATTCAGATTTAGATATAGCTCCCATATATAGTTTGTCTAATTTAAATATTTTTAAATATATTGTTTATTGTATCTGAACTTTTGTTGCACTGCCATCTTCATATGTATTTGTTGCAAATTGTCTCACACGGAAATATTGTTCCCTGGTCCTTCAATATAGATAATGCTTTTTTCAATTTTTGGTAATAGATGTGATTTGTTTCAAAAATAATTTTTGATTTCAATGAAATCAATTTAAGCAAATTTTTCTTTTTTATTTCATGTTTGGTTGTTTATTTCTCTAATCATTTTTTGTGAACGATCAGATACAAATTGAAGAACAATTGGGTCTGAGAAAAAAATTAAGGGAAACACAGCAGGAGGTACCACTAACATTAAATGTAATGTAATGGATTAATATCGTAAGATAAATGTGTAATATATTTTGGTTTTTTATTCTAAAATATATTTGTATTAAATTTTAAATCTATATTTTTATAAGAGCAAATCTTGTTGGGAGCGGTCTATTTATATAACAAGACTAATAGCCAGTGTGTTATTAAAGAAGACCTTCTAGCATAGTGTATATGAAAAGCTTCTCATCTCTTTTTTATTATATTATTTATAAGATGTTATTTTGGTTTTCTATATATGCTGCTTTTCATATTTAGAATAGAGTTCTCATATCATTCAATATACTACATTCAATATTATTTAAATAGAGAAGTCCTGGAATTCTAGAGGAAATTTTTAAATTCAGATCAGCTCCTGTTATTTATAATATAAAAAAGTAAAAGTAAAAACTTTATTTTTATATAAATGTCGAGAAAGTCTGATTCATCTTCTTAACTAAAAAAGGACTTCCTTCGTTGTACTAGAGATCCTTCTGGTCTTCAAAACAAAGTTTTTTTTTTAATTTTCGTTTTTACAAGAAGACCTTTTGGTCTTCTTCCACATACAAACTGAATCTATGCATAAAGGGTTTCTGGTCTTCTTTTATTTTAAAATGTCGTTCGGTATTTCTTCTATAAAAGAAGGGTATCTGATCTTAATAAGAACAATTTCCGGGCTTTCTTCCATATAATAAACCAAGTTTTCTGACCTTCTTTTATGCAAAAATGTCCTCTGATATTTCTTCTATGTATAAAATAAAGCTATCTGATCTTCTTTATAAGACAAATTTCCGGGCTTTCTTCCATATAAGAAGCCATTTTGGTCTTATAGCAGAAGAATTAGATTCTATGCTGTTGAAATCACAATAGACCCGCAATATTATATATAGTTTCAACAATAGATATAGATTGCTACTTCTTCTAGTACGAGTATAAAGTGGCATATACCGGTCCACGTTTTGGTATTACCCCATATAACACTACTTCCCAATTTCCTGTATTTTGATGATTTTAGTTGCATTATCTAACCGAAGGGGCGGGGCTATTATTTGACATTGCGGCCCTAGAGGCCTTGTAACGTTAGCATTTCTCTCTAACTAAATCAAGAACTTTAGGTACTTTTTGATCCAGGGGAATTCCTTATCACCCATTACGTTGTAGTCCTAATCTACGTATCATAGACACTGGCAAATAGCACTCCGATACGCCTTCCTATCCAAAGCTTATTTGGCTTTGGCACTTTTGGCTTTGGCTTTGGCACTTCTCTGGAACCGACAGCGAGGACTTCTAAGTATGTTTGAAACAACTACCCGTGACTCCTTTAACCTCAGTGGCCAGCTGCTTCAGAAGCACCGGCTTAGGAGAGCCCACATCTATTTAAATGTTTCTCTATTTAAAAGTTTCTGAATCCATGGGCATTGGTTGAGTAGAGCACCTGATGTCGAATATGGAAGAGTCTTCTTACCATGGCAATGTTACCACTTACTTACTTCCTTAGCTGGCTTGTTACAGAACGGTTGTTCCATAAGCCGAGCTTAAAAAAAAAGATTTCCAAGCGCATCGGTTTTGTGCGCAAGTCCACCAATTTGGAAGACCACGTTCCAAGATGTTGTTTTCTACTTGGTCTTTCCATCTAATTCGTGGCCTTCCCCTTCTACGGGAACCATCAGTAGGCTCATTTTTATATGCCTTTTGAGCTGGGGCATCTTCATTCATCCGCACAACATGGCCTAGCCACCGTAGTCGCTGCAGCTCAATACGACTGACTATGTCGATATCCGCGTATAAATTGCAGAGCTCGTGGTTCATTCGACGCCGATATTCACCGTCGACGCAGATCGGCCCGTAGATCTTTCGGAGAATTTTTCTCTCAAAACCCCAAGCACTGCCTCATCTGCTTGCGCAAGTACCCATGCTTCTGATCCATATAATAGCACGGGTAGTATCAGCGTCCTGTAAAGTGTGAGTTTGGTCTGGCGGGAGGTGGCCTTGTTTCTAAACTGCTTACTTAGACCATAGTAGCATCTGTTGGCCATCACAATCCTTCTCCGAATTTCAAAACTGATATTATTCGTTTTATTTATGGCGGTACCAAGGTATATAAAGTATTTTACTACCTCGAAGCTGTAGTTCTCAAGTTCCACAGTTGGTTACCAAGCCCTAAACCTAATACTCTTCTGGGCGCCCAGATATCAATGAGGCTCCGTTCGAATACAGTCAGTACCCTGATTGCAAACAGGTCGCATAACATTCTAGCTTAGGGATTCATTCTTTTAGGGAAAACGACCAGGAACCCATTTTTACACCCTTCACCACACTGCGGCACAGGGTATTATGTCTTTGTGCATATGTTTGTAAAAGGCAAAAGAAAACGAGATAGACACATACCGTATTAATTATATAACGTTAAGTTAAGGTTGATGAGACAGCGTGTTGAGGATCTGGAAGGAGCATTTCGAAAAGCTGCTAGTATCAAATAGTGGCGATGAAGAAGATACCCCAGAACCAATAGGAGATGATGGTATAGAGTGTATACCACCTAGCCAAGATGAGGTCATAAAAGCAATTAATCGGCTCAAGAACAACAAAGCAGCAGGAGCCGATGGGTTACCAGCCGAACTATTCAAGACTGGTGGCCAGATGCTGGTCAGGAGCATGCACCAGCTGATTAACACAATCTGGCTAGATGAATGCATGCCCAATGATTGGAACCTCAGCATCCTGTGTCCCGTGCACAAAAAAGGAGACAAGACAATATGTGCCAACTATAGAGGAATAAGTCTCCTTCCCATCGCATATA